TGTATGAACAACCCGAATTTACGTGACGCTTTCAAACAAGTACATTAATTAAGAACACGCTTACTAATTAAGATGCCTCGCGACATCGCCGGATAATCCGCTTGATCCGCTTCGCGACTATGGCGCTCCGCGAAAGTCGCCGAAATGATTCGAACATCGGCAACTTCACGCCGCGCGCGGGTACAACGTGAGTCAGGTCAAAAGCGCGAGTGCACCGTTCATAAATAGTACAAAGGTTCGAATCTCCCAACCCTCCCTCTGGATAATCCGACGTAATTCGAGATCACAGATTCGATAAATCCCGCGAGTTTAACGACCGCGCGATCGCTACCATCCTAAATCACATCGTCTATATTCCATCGCATAAATCGATGCCGCCGAACGACTCGCGTAGTACTTTGCGCGATCTCGCCGCCGACAAATGGACCGACGCGCGCTGCGCTGAAAAGATACGCTCGGAAACGATCGTCGTCCAGTAAAACACGTCGAAGTAATTGATACGATGGCTCGTATCTTCCTTATTTTCATTGGTCACACTTTTTACGCGTATTTTCCGACGCGATACGGCGCCCGAGGAGCGGCTCGCTCGAGCGCAACCGCTCAGCACGACCGTCGGAACGCGAATGATAGCGCGAGGTGACTCTCGTAAACATGGCGCGGCCATGGGAAGCGGCGCGCGTATGGCGAATGTATACAAAAACAAAGCCGCCGAGCGCCGCGCGCCAACCACTGGCACGGTAATGTTTTTAAATGTTTAATACGTTTTTAAATGTTTAATACGTCATCACGCAAATAATATTACGTTTCTTAGATTTCAATGGGCTCTGTCGCCGGAACGTCTCTACCAAGACTACGTTTCCATTTAACGCTCGCAACGCTCTCGAAATTCTTTCATCTATATTATTCATCGAATATTAAAGAAGAGCAAGCGGGGGAGGGTGGGCTCGTCAACGTCACTCGAGATAACGAACATCCTTAGAGCGTCTTCCTCATCGAAGTCCCGGTAAGTATCTTCGATACTTCCAGAAAGCTGCTCGCGACCGAACGGAAATAATTAATTGTTGTCTGACGACGTTAACGAATTTCAACAAAGCGAAAGACAAAATATGCGATGAATTGATTCATTGGAAATGTATAATATCTGGTTGCTTTTAGAAAAAGCAATGCTTTAGAAATAAGAAAGTTAAATGAATGTTTATACATAGCGATTTTTTTTTTATTATATTCGTTATGTATGATTCATGATTCACTATTGAAGTAAGTTTAATTTGAAAAAGCGGTAGAAGTAATTAGCTAGCATACTTATGTTTTAAATTTATTTTATAAAGAAAAACATTATTTTTTTCGGTAGTATCTGCAGCAATATAATGTACAGTATTTTTACGCTTTAATAACGTATTCTGCAAATAAGTAAAAACTCCTACTAAAAGAAACGTAACTTTAATGAATCAAGAAAATTAAATCGTGCCTGAAAGATAAGGTACTTTTATCTTATTTTTTAAATCTATTCTACAGTTTTGTAATTTTCGAGACATAAAGGATTGGCGAGGAAAGTAATAATAATAACTTAATTTCTGCAAATTTCTTTCTGATAAAAACAAAGATAAATTCTATTATTTAAATTATTTAAATAAACGATAAATATAATGAAATACTTTCTAAGTAAAGTGATCAATCAAAGATTGAGTAACTTATAAAGTAGATTAGTTAAATGTATGTATTACTGAAGCACAAGAAATAAAAAATTTAGGTTTAAATAACGTTAAAAATTAATGTCATCTGTACTGTAAAAATTTATAACAGATGACGGATTGATACGCGTGTATTAAATAGTATTGCACAGTATTATTATTATTCAAAAATTATTACAACAATTTTCTATACATGATTATATTAAAATTTCGATATTAATTCGCGATTAATGATTATTTTGTCGCGTGCATTAATTTAGGATTTTTAACTCAAATCTCCATAAAATGTAATATTAAAGTATCGTCGACAATGGCTGTGCACTCTCTATAAAATATGGATAACGTATATGTGATATAGACAATGTATTTAATATATATAAGTGAGAACATAACACACACACACACACACACATACACACACACACACCACACAACACACACACAACACACACACACACACACACAATGGAAAATTGGGTCCTGTGTTTTCGTATGGAATAATCATGTCAATTTCCCACTAATTTTACGACAATGTCTGTACGGCAAAATGGAATATAATTTCATCGTAACAGATGTTCTATTCACGTCAAAAATAAAGCAATCACACGAGATGAGATTCTCCTCGTTAACCGGGCTGTGTTTTGTAGAGATGTCAGCGGTTAAATTTGGACAAATTTACTCGGAGCGTCGCGTAAGGAAATAAGATCATCTCGCTCTCGGAGAAGGGAAAGGGGGACTAGAGAAGGGAGCAAGGAGAAGCTCTCCGACGATAAATTAAATCCGCTTTTAAGAGCACCACTTTTCCACTGGAAACGCTCATTAGCGCTGATTGTGAGGCAGCTCGTTCACGTTCTGCGGATGCATTCTACACACGTCGCCATGCAGTTTGCCAATAGCGATGCGGTCTCGTCTCGAAACCGACGAAATCAATCCGCGTCTCGATCTCACATAACAAACGAACTGAATTAAATGAACGAGGATATCGTATTTACCACAGCCGAACGCTTTAGATATATATACTTTTCGCGGAATAATAAAAATGATATCCCGGAAGATAAAGAGATAAATTGGAGCGAATAAATCGTATAATACGCGAATAATCGCGAGAATCAACGTGGCAAAATAACACAATTAATTTTTCCTATGTATATAATTATCGACAGTGGGGCCGTTACCACCTCTTTTGCAAGGTATGCCAATGGCTTTATCTAATTATACTGAATGCAGCCTTATTGTATCGCTGACGGTAGGACGAATTATTAAGTTAAATCAGCGCAATCAAGGGATTGAATGCGAATCGATAAATAATCGTAATTGGCCCGTTTTCGATGGCGATCAAGCACGGTGAAAAATACAGATTTGATTCCGTACGACGTAACCAATGACGGAGGGAGAATATTGCCGATCATCGCGAGTCGCGGGGATTGCGGGGGTTTGCGAGCCGACCTGTAATTCCTGTGTAAACCACATCGCGGGCGCATAATGCACTCTCGCATTATTGCCGTTCATTGTGAATTGTCGCGCGAACTCTGCCGTTCGCGTGCATGACGATAACGCGAACAAGCGGAGAAAGACGGACGTATACTGTCGATCGCAAATAGCTTCGACGCTCGTTGAATGAACCGGACCGCGAATCACTAAGCGAGCAATTTATGCACTGGTGTTGTCGGCCGGACGAGGGAGAAACACCTGTTCGTTAACTCATTCGATAACGACAACGACGACGACGACGACGACGACGACGACGACGATGTCGGCGACAAGGACAAAGTACTCGCTTTCTAAGGCAAACCGCTCGTGATTTACCATTCTCCATCTGGAAATTAGTCGTATGTCTGTCGTAGACGTCTATCGACAGATAGATGCGCGCGACTCGAATAATTCGTCTCTCCGCAACCAAGCGCCATGGAGGGACGGTTATAATCGTTCGCCACGATATATGTAAATTTAAGGCAAAGAAAATCATAGATGTCCTTCGATCCTCTTTAATCCGCGTGCTTAAATTACGTTACGAAATTACGACGTCCAAATGTAGTCGACCGAGCAGTTAGTCACGGTTGTAAGTGTCCGAGTTAACAGCATGGCTGCCCGACTTGGCGCATTTCGGGATTTATGTGTCTAAAGATGTAAAGCCAGGAAGATCTACGCGTCTGGAGATATTCGCGGCGAAACATCTCGGAGAAGAGTCTCTGAGGATTCTCTCTGCGGTTCTTCTAATTTCGAAGAATGCCGCATACTAGATTATGATACGTAACGCTTCGCATAATTTACGCGTTCACTCAACGGCGAAAGCCAACGGCATGAGACATCAGCGTCTCTTCCCCTCCCCTCTCTCTCTCTATCTCTTTCCCTCGCGGTGATGAAGAGATCTTATGGAGAAATGCCGCGAGTAAATTTACTATGCCCTACATTAGAGACGAGCGTAATGCAAACTCCCTCCCGGAAACAACCCGCGTGAATTTCCAACAATTTCGTTCGCACCGAACGCTGCGATGCGCGCCGTGCAAAACTCTTTTGAGTTCGAATCGATGAACGGGTTAACGCACGTCTTAATCGCTCCATTGTTCACAAATAACTGTGTACAAGCCGTACATCGCGAAATCGGATTTCGAAATATTATTCCGACGCAACGCAAAAATATAAATGGCGTGGTTGCGTGTTAGCAAGATTTTCAGAACGTACACGTTCAAAACTTATGCATATTCGCGATAATGCATATTCGCGATTGCAAATCTGTGCAGAGATTCAGAGTATTGTTTATATGAATTGCAGAGGGATATCGAATATTTTACACATAACGGAAATAAAAAGCGGCATATCGCAAGTTTATTAAATCGCCAATAATGGTAAAAGTGATTAATGTCTCGATTTCTGCCTAAAATACACCATGTATTTATTTTTATCGATCTTATATATCTCTTATTTTCTCTCTTTTTGAAAAAATAGAGCGAGCTTAACATTCTTCAAGCATGAAAGATATCGCATATTATTTATAATAAATTTATAATCTTTTACGCACGCGGCGCAACGGTTTTCAGAACCTTATCACATACAATAAAACATAAATTTATAAAAAAAAAATTTAATATACAATTGCGAAGTAAAATGATTCACAATCTATTTTCTACTCGAATTGGTGCAATAATCCTGGAAATGTCAAAACTTCAAATTTAATATTATCGTCCTGTCCTAATTCCACTTATGCACAGCGGGTAATATTCAAATTAACAAAAGTAAGCTACGTGAAAAGCGAGAATCCCTCTTTCCCTCCCTCACCTTCGAGCGAATATATGAAAATTGCTCCCTTACCTTGCAATGGGTGCAGTTGTGGATGACGGAGTACGGCTGGGCGCAATCGTAGCGCGCCAGTACCTCCTCGAACTCGCACTGCAGCTGCGAGACCAGGAGATCAACGCGCAACAGCTTGTCCAGGGCATCTTTGCACTTCTCGCCGCCGTTTAACACGTCTTCGAGCGGGCCGCCCTTGCCCGGCGCCAGGGCGTTGAACACCGCGTGCTCGCAGCAATACGGCAGCCTTACCATGAACAAATATAGATTATTCTTCGGTAAATTCTCACAGATGAACTCCTTGTTCGACTTCTCGAGATAATAAAGGCACTGTTCCCCCTCCTTCTTTTCATCGGTGCGGTATTTACCACCATGTCGATTGCCAGTCCCGTCTCCGTCCTCGACCCCCCTATTTGTCTTCGTATTATAGGTTTTCGTTATTTTTGAAATGTTTCCGCACGATTTCGGGCAGTTCTTGGCCACCCTAGGCACCTCCGATGGACCGCAGGTACCCTGAAGATCGGTCGGCTCTGGTCCTGCCAGATCGCAGGCCGACAGCCAGGGATTCATTTGGTTCACCGCCCAAGTGTATTCGTTGTAGGGGTGCTCGGGTTTCTCCTGTTCGTCCAACTGTTCCTCCTGCTCCTTCCTCTGTTGTTGATACTTTTGCTGATGATAACGATGACGTTCGCTATCGGTATTGTAATCGCTACCCTGAACGTATTGTTGAGAATGTTGGTATTGTTGCACAATGACCGGCGACGACGAGAACAACGTGTCCGACGGCGTGACATTACCCCGTTGCGCGGGATCCTTGGCATGTGCGAGGGTCGGGTTTTGCGCGAAGGTCGAGGCGAGGTGACCTGAGGGACTGCTCGTGCACAGTAAGGGCCACGCCAGAAGATACAATACGAACAGCAACAGCCTGTAATAGCTCCTGCGTATACGCGGCTGCCCTCCTCCTTCCCCTTCGCCGCTTCTTCCTTTTCTCCTAATAATTGGCTTTTGGCACCAGGCAGTGTTATCGCTACGTGTCCTCTCGCTACACTCTCCTCCTCCTCCTC